TATATATATCTATATATATATATCTATATATATCTATATATATCTATATATATCTATCATATATATATCATATATATATCTATATATATATATATCATATATATGATATATATATATCTGGACTGTGACTCATGTTTCTAATGTTGTCTCTTTAGACTCCAGTGATTTAAACTAATCAGTCAGCATGAGGTTGAAGAGTTTCAGCTTTAATTCAATGAATAAAATTAAAACATCACAACAACGTTTAAGAATTACAGACATTTTCCACACAAATTCGTACTCGAGCACAGTACTTGATTAATGTACTTAGACACAGTTTAATTCAAGAGGCTTTATTGAGAACAACTAAAAAACATATACAGGAAATAACAATATTATCCAAATGAATGAAATATTTGTGAGTGAAGTGTTTTTTTTCAAGATGTCTTCAATAGAAACACTGTTGGTTCAAATGGTTTAATGTTGACGATAAGAGAGTTCTAGAAGATAACACTTCAACCCACTCTTGATATTATACCTAATATTATAAATATATAAATATTATAATATATATTATATTATTATTCCTGTCCAAACATCTGGGAAGAGAGAGAGAGGAGGAGAGGAGAGGGGGAGGAAGAGAGGAAGAGGAGGAGGAGGAGGAGGGAGGGAGCGGAGGAGGGGATAGTAGGAGAAGAGAGAGAGGAGGAAGAGGGGGGGAGGTGAGAGGAAGAGGGGCGAGAGTGACCAGTAATTAGTAACACATATCTAAACTTCCTTGTGAGGCTGGTAATAGTAATTACATCATCTCTGAGATTGTTTTCCCTTTTTGTAAAAACTTAAAGCAAACAAACACCATGACCACCAACCTCCGTTGTGACGTCAGTGTGTTTGTGTTTCCTCCAGAGGCTGACGGCTCACCTCCACTCTCTGAAAACCCCTCCATACGTCATCAACCTGGACCCGGCCGTCCACGAGGTCCCCTTCCCTGCAAACATTGGTGAGGAAACACCCAAACTACGTATTTAAAGAGCAACTAAACCCCAAACTACGTATTTAAAGAGCAACTAAACCCCAAACTACGTATTTAAAGAGCAACTCGACCCCAAACTACGTATCTAAAGAGCAACTCGACCCCAAACTACGTATCTAAAGAGCAACTCGACCCCAAACTACGTATTTAAAGAGCAACTCGACCCCAAACTACGTATCTAAAGAGCAACTCGACCCCAAACTACGTATTTAAAGAGCGACTAAACCCCAAACTACGTATCTAAAGAGCGACTAAACCCCAAACTACGTATTTAAAGAGCAACTCGACCCCAAACTACGTATTTAAAGAGCAACTCGACCCCAAACTACGTATTTAAAGAGCGACTCGACCCCAAACTACGTATTTAAAGAGCGACTAGACCCCAAACTACGTATTTAAAGAGCGACTCGACCCCAAACTACGTATTGAAAGAGCGACTCGACCCCAAACTACAGATTTAAAGAGCGACTCGACCCCAAACTACAGATTTAAAGAGCGACTCGACCCCAAACTACAGTTTTAAAGAGCGACTCCACCCCCAAAGCTTCAGTTTTAAAGAGCGACTCCACCCCCAAAGCTTCAGTTTTAAAGAGCGACTCGACCCCCAAAGCTTCAGTTTTAAAGAGCAACTAAACCCCCAAACTAAAAAAATGACTGGTGTGACTCAGGTCTCTACCAGAGACGTATACGGCGTCTCTACGTCACTCCTCCTCAGTCCAGATATGGTCACTTCCTGTTCACTGGTTGAAAAATAGCCACGTTAAAATCTCTTATTTCAGACAACTGGCAAAAAACACATTGACTTCCAGACGAGTGAACAAGAAGTGAGAAAATGCTGACTCACTTTTGGGTTTTAGAACTCCTCTATATCCTCCTATAAAACTGACTGAGGGTAGAGGAGTATTACTGAAGAGTAGCCGTTTCAGTTAGCCTGTGAATCACTAATGCTAATCACTAGCATACTGGCCCCTGCATGTAAACGCAAAGAATGTATCCTGTATGTTGTCACCAGAACAGACTCTTTACAGAACTCTTCCCTGACTACAATCATAACTCTAGTGAGCAAATAGCATACGGTAGCTTTTCTTTTTCTCTTTTGTAACTGTAGCATCAAAGCATGGTGGAATGAGCCAGCTAGCTAACTAAGTATCCTCTTAAACGATTCAATTCACACTAAAGTCCACAGAAAAGAGGGAAACGGTTTGTTACAGTAATTACAGCACATTCCTCATTTAGTCGGTCCAGGCAGACATTATTCGGTTCTCGGTTCTCTCTGTAGCCTTCAGTCCGTCTGTCTGTCTTCTGTCCCGCAGACATCCGGGACACCGTGAACTACAAGGAGGTGATGAAGCAGTACGGCCTCGGACCCAACGGGGGCATCGTGACGTCACTCAACCTGTTCGCCACGCGCTTTGATCAGGTGACCCAGTCTTGACTCCGCCTCTCTATAAGATACCGAACCAAAGAGTTAAACTATTGAAATCAAAAGATGTCGACGACTTGAAACTAAAACGTACGAGTGTTATAAATGAGTTGGAACGGTTTAGTTTTTAAGTGTGTTTTTGTTTTCTGTTCCTCAGGTGATGCACTTCTTGGAGAAGAAGCAGCAGAACCACCGGTGAGTATTGGTACTACCTGAACTACATCACCTTAAAATCTCTCCTGTCCTCTCATGTCTCCTATCCTCTCCTTCCTCTCATGTCTCCTGCACTCTCATGTCCCCTGCACTCTCATGTCCTCTCCTGTCCTCTCATGTGTCCCGTTCTCTCATGTGTCCCGTTCTCTCATGTGTCCCGTTCTCTCATGTGTCCCGTCCTCTCATGTCTCCTGCACTCTCGTGTCTCCCGTCCTCTCGTGTCTCCTGCACTCTCGTGTCTCCCGTCCTCTCGTGTCTCCTGCACTCTCGTGTCTCCCGTCCTCTCGTGTCTCCCGTCCTCTCGTGTCCCCGTCCTCTCGTGTCCCCGTCCTCTCGTGTCTCCCATCCTCTCGTGTCTCCTGGTCTCCCGTCCTCTGGTCTCCCGTTCTCTCATGTGTCCCGTTCTCTCATGTGTCCCGTTCTCTCATGTGTCCCGTTCTCTCATGTGTCCCGTTCTCTCGTGTCCCGTCCTCTCGTGTGTCCCGTCCTCTCGTGTGTCCCGTCCTCTCGTGTGTGCCGTCCTCTCGTGTGTCCCGTCCTCTCGTGTGTCCCGTTCTCTCGTGTGTCCCGTGCTCTCGTGTGTCCCGTTCTCTCGTGTCTCCCGTTCTCTCGTGTCTCCCGTTCTCTCATGTGTCCCGTCCTCTCGTGTCTCCGGTCCGCTCATGTCTCCCGTCCTCTCATGTCCTCTCTCGTGTCTCCTCTGCAGCTACATTCTGATCGACACCCCGGGTCAGATTGAAGTCTTCACCTGGTCTGCGTCTGGAACCATCATCACGGAGACTCTGGTGGGTCCAACTCTCTGTTTTCTCTTATTGATCACATCACAGTGAGTTCTGAAGCACAAACCCGCCGGTGGGCCGAAAGGGCCCAAACTACACATCGTTTATCAGCCAGAAGCTGTGAAAATAGACCTCATTGTCGTCAGATTGTCATCTTTCCGACAGTCCTTGAACACATCATGTCCGACGAACGCTTCCATCAGATAAGACGAGGAGAGAGGAGATGGGGAGGGGAGAGGAGAGGCTGAAACATGTGAATAGTTCAATGTATAGAACATGTAGAGACTCCATAACTGAGTTATTCTGCACTAAAGACATGTTCTAGTTCTCTCTACTTCTAGTTATGAGTGTTGTTTCCATAGAGGAGCAGGACTTTATATCACTGTTGTACAGGGTAGGAAATTTACATATTTCTTTGGGGGCAACTTTTGCCCCCACTGACTGAGATCCAGGGGCATTTTCAAAAAATTGGGGGCAGTTTGTTCAAAATAATAAATATACCCTTTTAGGCTGACAGTATATGAGCAATTGTCATCAAATGGCAATAATAAGACTATTAGGCAGTAGTCTACATATTCAAAGTGTTTTCTTAGATTTTTTTAACAAAAAACAAACAGAAATCAGACAATCATATTCAATTTATTCTTATTTCTTTGTGGTTATTTATTGTTATTATTAAATGTTTTAAACAACTATTAACAATTATTAAATCAACGATGCCTTGATTACATATACATCAGTCATTGTGTGGAATTATTGAGAAAAATATTTTTGTAGCACCTCAAATATTTAAAAAATGTGCCATTTGAATGTACAAATTCAGTTCAGAGTTTTTGCTTAGTAAATATCTTAATTGACTGTCAGTCAGGTATTATTCATTAGCAACCCTCAAATCAAAGAATAAAGACACTTTACACACAATTTATGTGTATTTTCCCTTTAACTCACGAGATGCAGGCAGCATGTTTTATACTTAATGTGAATATAATTCATACTTTGTTGGCATCTTATTCTGAAAACCGGATGTTCGTCTGAAGAAACCGGATGTTGTCTCACGTTAATCTTTCCGTTAACTTTCAAAGTCCTTCGCTCGCTCCCGATCTGTGCCGTTTGAATGTGTTTACCGTGAATGTCAGCATATAGGTGCACTAACATGTAAGTGTCTGCTGAGGTGACCACAGTCTCGCAGTCACAGGTCTGATTAAGAAGCGCTCCATTTATTTATTCGTTTAGAAAGTTCGGGGGCATTTTTTGCCCCTCAGTGATATCAGGGGCAAAATGATATTTCTTAGGGGCAGTTTTGCCCTTTGCCCTCGTGTATTTCCGACGCTGCCGTTGTATCGCGTTGTATCGCATTGTATCACGTATCATGTTGTATCACGTTGTATTACGTTGTATCGCATTGTGTCGCGTTGTATCACGCTGTATTACGTTGTATTACGTTGTTTTACGTTGTATTACGTTGTATCGCGTTGTATCGCATTGTATCGCGTTGTATCGCATTGTATCACGTATCATGTTGTATCACGTTGTATTACGTTGTATCACACAGGGTTAATGTTTTGTGTGCTTCAGGCCTCGTCCTTCCCCTGCGTGGTGATCTACGTGATGGACACATCTCGCAGCGTCAGCCCCGTCACGTTCATGTCCAACATGCTGTACGCCTGCAGGTACCAATGAATGTTGGTGGTGTTGTCCATCAGTAATACTCACACTGTCCTCACCTATTTAATATTACAGATCTATGAACACAGTGGCTATAAACACACACAAGCACTCAATCAGACATCAAACATCTGTTACTTTAACTAAAACTACGAGTCACGTATTGAAATACCACAACACTGGACTGCTCTTTACATCATAGAAAGTATGTTATATATCTGAAATGCAAATATTATACTATTATTATTTATTTTTCTTACAAAAGATCACAGCTGATTCAATTGTCTCACTCCCATTTTCAAATATCACTGAAACAGGGACGGACCCCGTCCACACACACTCTGATGTAAAACAGTGTTTGTACTGAATATGTCCAGCAGGGGGCACCACCAGAGCAGATAAGAGAACTGAGTATTAAATATGAACTGCTCTTAGTGTTAGTGTGTGTAATATTATCAGGAAACAACGAGATTACAGCACTTTGAGTTAAACTTCACTGAAGCAACATTCAGAGGTGAACTAGAGTCATAACTCAGAGAAATGAACTCCTCATCATCATCATCATCATCATCATCATCATCATCATCATCATCATCATCATCTCCAGAACAAACGTCCTTAAATCATAGAGAACCGCTGCCTCTTGAACTCATTTTCTACACGTACTTATTTATTTGACTGTTCTTCCTCTCGTGTCTTAATACTTTATTTATACTGCATTGTGTCTTTGTCTCTTCTTGTTATCGTAACATCTCTGGAACACCGAGAAGGAATTTCTTTTTTAATTTGGCCATAACTTTAAGAATTCATACGCTAACTATGACAATTTAACCCAAATGTTGTAAAATGATGGACGGACACAGATTTAAAGTGTCCGTGGTATTAATACTATATTAATATAATACATAGTATATAATTCTAGTGTACTATTCTTTTATTATTTGTACATATGACTTTATTTGCAATAGTTGAAGAAACATTAAAAAGCATGATTTGAAGAGTTGTTAATGTTGTCTTCAGCATCTCAGTGATCCTGTGATGTCTTCAGCATCTCAGTG